CCAAATTCGGGGAATTGTCCGGGATTGGGGTCCCAAATTCGGGAATTTTCCGGGATTGGGGTCCCAAATTCGGGGAATTGTCCCAAATTCGGGGAATTGTCCCAAATTCGGGGAATTGTCCGGGATTGGGGGATCCCAAATTCGGGAATTGTCCGGGATTGGGGGTCCCAAATTCGGGGAATTGTCCGGGATTGCGGGGTCCCAAATTCGGGAATTGTCCGGGATTACGGGATGAGCTGACCCCAATCCTGATCCCAATCCTGATCCCGATCCCATTCCCAATCCCATTCCCGGTGGTTCCCCCTTCCCTCCCCTTTCCCGGGATCCGACCCCAAATCCGCCCCGGGGCCCTTCGGTCGAGGGGGAAAAACAGTTCCAGAGTTCCTCAATGAAATTCCCAAATTTTTCACATTTCTGGGAGGGCTGGGAATCATTCCAGAGGTGTTTTTGGGATCCTGACACCACAATTCCCAAATTTTCCACCTTTCTGGGATGAACAGAAATATTTCCAGGGGTTTTTTTTGGGATTCTGAGACCACAATTCCCAAATTTTCACCTTTCTGGGAGGGTTGGAAACCATTCCAGGGGTTTTTTTTTTGGGATCCTGGGAACCGGGAGAGGGCAAAATGTGCAATTTTGATCCAAAATTCCACAAAAATCATTGGGAAAAACGAAATAAACCCCAAAGGAACGGAGCCGTTCATCCCCAAACTCCGCTGGGATCCCTCGGCCCCGGAGAATCCGGAATTCTCTGGATGGGATGGGACGGGCGGGAATTGTCGGGAATTATCTGGGAATTTTCTGGGAATTGTTTGGGAATTGTCCACTGGGAATTTTCTGGGAATTGTCCAGCGGGAATTGTCCAGGTGGGAATTGTCCACCAGGAATTGGGAATTGTCTGGGAATTGTCGGGGCGGGAATTGTCTGGGAATTATCCAGGAAATGTCCACTGGGAATTCTCCATTGGGAATTATCCATGGAAAAATGTCCAGTGGGAATTGTCTGGGTGGGAATTGTCCAGCTGGAAATTTTCTGGGAATTGTCCAAGTGAGAATCATCCACCAGGAATTGGGAATTGTCTGGGAATTATCTGGGAATTGTCCAGGTGGGAAATGTCCAGGACTTATCCCATCGGGAATTGTCCGCTGGGAATTCTTCACCGGGAATTGTCTGGGAATTGTCTCGGAATCGTCCAGGAATTAATCAGGAATTGTCCAGTGGGAATTATCCATGGATAAATGTCCAGTGGGAATTATCCAGGTGGGAAATGTCCAGGAATTGTCTGGGAATTATCCAGGAATTGTCCACTGGGAATTGTCTACCCGGAACTGTCCGTTGGGAATTATCCATGGAAAAATGTCCACTGGGAATTGTCCGGACAGGAATTGTCCACTGGGAATTTTCTGGGAATTGTCCAGTGGGAATTGTCCAGGAATTGTCCAAGTGGGAATTATCCAGGTGGGAAATGTCCAGGAATTGTCTGGGAATTATCCAGGAATTATCCACCAGGAATTGTCCACTGGGAATCATCCAGGAATTGTTGGGAATTCTCTGGGAATTGGCTACTGGGAATTCTTCCCCGGGAATTGTCCAGGAATTATCCACCAGGAATTGTCCAGTGGGTATTGTCTGGGAATTGTTGGGAATTCTCCATTGGGAATTGTCCGGGAATTGTCAGGAATTGACCACTGGGAATTGTCCAGGTGGGAATTGTCCAGAAACTGTCCAGGAATTGTCCATTGGGAATTTTCCACTGGGAATTGTCCAGGTGGGAATTGTCCATTGGGAATTGTCCTCTGGGAATTCTCCCCCGGGAATTTTCCGGCCGGGAATTGGGTGTGGAGCAGAGAACCCGGAAATTCCTCCCGAACCCGCTCGGAATTCCGAAATAACGATCGTGGTAACAACGGGAATAATTAATAATTAATAATAATTAATAACGATACACCCGCCGGGCTCGGCGCTGCCCCATCCTCATCCTCCTCCCCTTCCCCCAATTCCGGGGGCGGATCCGTGGAGCCCCAAATTCCAGCAGGAAATTCCAGAAGAAAATTCCAGAAGAAAATTCCAGCAGAAAATTCCAACAGAAAATTCCAGAAGAAAATTCCAGCTCCTTTCTCTTTGGTCTACTCCGGAGGTGCGGTCCCGAATTAATGAAATCCCGAATTCCAGAAATCCTGAATTTCTGAATTCCTGAAATCCCAAATTTCCTGAATGCCCCAAATCCCAAATTCCTGAAATCCTGAATTTCTGAAATCCTGAATTCCTGAATTGCCAAAATCCCGAATTCCTGAAATCCTGAATTCCTGAATTTCCAAATTTCTGAATTCCTCAAATCCCAAATTTCTGAATTCCTCAAATCCCAAATTCCTGAATTCCTCAAATCCCAAATTCCTGAATTCCTGAAATCCAGAATTCCTGAAATCCCGAATTTCCTGAGTTCCCGAAATTCCAAATTTCTAAATTCCTGAAATCCGGAATTTCTGAATTCCTGAATTTCCCGAAATCCCAAATTTTGGCCTCATCCAGGAACACAAAAAGCTGCCGAGGGTTTTGCAGTCCAGAGCTCCTTCTTTAATCGGATGATGGGAAAAACGGGAAAAAAAAGCCTGGAAAAAGGGAAAAATAAAAAAAAAAGGGGGAAAAAAAAGGGAAAAAAGAAAAAATGGGGAAAAAAAAGGAAAGAAAAAGGGGAAAAAAGGGAAATAACCCCAAAAAACAACCCTGAAGAACCCAATCCACCGGCAGGGAGCACCGAGCTCTGGGAATTCTCCAGGATTTTCTGGGAATTCTCTGGGAATTCTCTGAGATTTTTCTGGGATTTCTCCAGGGATTTTCTGGGATTTCTCTGGGTTTCTCCGGGATTTCTCCAAGGATTTTCCAGGATTTCTCTGGTGGGATTTCTCTGGGATTTTCCATGAATTCTCCAGGATTTCTCCGGTGAGATTTCTCCAGGAATGCTCCGTGGTCTCTCCGGGATTTCTCCATGAATTCTCCACCAATTCCCCACGGTTTCTCCGCAGTTTCTCCACAGTTTCTTCGGGGTTTCTCCGGGATTTCTCCACCAGTTCTCTGCAGTTTCTCTGGGATTTCTCCATGAATTCTCCATGAACTCTTTGCAGTTTCTCCGGAGTTTCTCCAGGATTTTCCATGAATCCTCCATGAACTTTCCGCAGTTTCTCTGGAATTCTTCGCAGTTTCTCCGGGATTTCTCCATGAATTCTCCATGAACTCTCCACAGTTTCTCTGGGATTTCTCCAGGGTTTCTCCAGGATTTTTCCATGAATTCTCCATGAACTCTCCAGGATTTCTCCACAGTTTCTCCGGGGTTTCTCTGGGATTTTTCCAGGATCTCTCCATGAACTCTCTGGGATTTTTCCATGAACTCTCCGGGATTTTTCCATGAACTCTCCGCAGTTTCTCCGGGATTTTTCCATGAACTCTCCGCAGTTTCTCCGGGATTTTTCCATGAACTCTCCGCAGTTTCTCCGGGATTTTTCCAGGATCTCTCCCCAGCTCTCTGGGATTTTTCCAGGATCTCTCCCCAGCTCTCTGGGATTTCTCCATGAACTCTCCAGGATTTTTCCATGAATTCTCCATGAACTCTCCAGGATTTTTCCAGACTCTCTCCCCAACCCTCCAGGATTTTTCCATGAAGTCTCCACAGTTTCTCCACAGTTTCTCCAGGATTTTTCCATGAACTCTCCATAGTTTCTCTGGGATTTTTCCAGGATCTCTCCCCCAGCTCTCCGGGATTTCTCCATGAACTCTCGAGGATTTTTCCAGGCTCTGTCCCCCAACTCTCTGGGATTTCTCCATGAACTCTCCGGGATTTCTCCACGAACTCTCCGCAGTTTCTCCAGGATTTCTCCATGAACTCTCCGGGATTTTTCCAGGCTCTCTCCCCACTCTCCGGGATTTTTCCATGAACTCTCCGGGATTTTTCCAGGATCTCTCCATAGTTTCTCTGGGATTTTTCCAGGCTCTGTCCCCACTCTCCGGGATTTTTCCAGGAT